GGGCCCCCCCCACCTCTGATGTCCCCCCCCTCGGCTCCTGCAGGCCCAGGTCTTTGCTGCTGATGGAGCTGCTGCAGAGACGCCGCCGTCAGGAACCCCCCAGGGAGAAGGTACCGGCATCCCCCATCACCTCCCTGTGCCCCTCGATGCACCCCCAACGTCCCCGAGCCCCCCGACGTCCCTTCCGCGTCCCCGAGCCCCCCGACGTCTCCTCGTGTGTCCCCAAGCCCTCTAACTCTGTCCCCCCCCCACCTGCTGGCAGCAGCTAGCCCCGAGGAGGGCCGGGAGGGGCGGAAGGAGAAGGACGGGGAGCGCGGGGAAGAGCGGCAGCGAGCCAAGGGTTCCAAACCCCTCATGCCCACCTCCACCATCCTGCGGCTACTGGCTGAACTGGTGCGCTCCTACGTGGGCATCGCCACCCTCATCGCCAACTATAGCTACACCGTGGGACAGTCCGAGCTCATCAAAGAGGTGACGATACAACCGGGACACGGTAAAAGGGGACATCGCTTGTCCCCGAGGGTCACCCCGTGGCAGCGTGCACATCCGTACACCCATCGTCGGGGTGTCTTGGTGGCGTGGGGTTGGGGATATGGTGGCGGTGTCACCCTGCGTGACAGCGTTCCCTGTCACTCTGCGTGGGTGTCTGACTCCCCCCGCCATTCCCCACAGGACTGTAGCGTGCTGGCCTTTGTCCTGGACCACCTCCTGCCCCACACGCAGAACGCCGAGGACAAGGACACGCCGGCGCTGGCCCGGCTCTTCCTGGCCAGTCTGGCAGCGGCAGGCAGCGGCACCGACGCCCAGGTGGCTTTGGTCAACGAGGTGAAGGCAGCCCTGGGACGGGCGCTGGCCATGGCCGAGAGCACTGAGAAGCACGCCAGGTGGGGGACACAGGGACACCATGGGGACACCGCGGTGTCACTGCGGGGCTATCGCGGCTGCACCGTTATGGGGTTGAGGTGTTTCTCATGGGGGTTGAGATGTCCTCCATGGGGGTGACAGGTTCCTCGTGGGGTTGAGACGCCCTGCGTGGGGTGACATCTCTACAGGGGTTGACGCGTCCTCCACGGGGTTGGCATGTGCTGCACGGGGTTGACATCTGCTCCACTGGGGTGGTAGAACTTCCATGAGAGTGATACGATCTCTGGCAGGGTGTGACACGTCCCCACAACGTGTGACACGTTCCCTCATCCTCACCACAGGCTCCAAGCCGTCATGTGCATCATCAGTACCATCATGGAGTCCTGCCCCTCCACCTCCAGCTTCTACAGCAGCGCCACCAAGACCCAACACAACGGCATGAACAACATCATCCGCCTCTTCCTCAAGAAGGGCTTGGTCAACGACTTGGCGAGAGTCCCTCACAGCCTTGATCTCTCCAGGTATGACCCCACCCAGACGCCTGGGTCCACTCTTATCAGGGGTCTTGAGGGGTTGTGGCGGGTCTTGAGGGGGTCTTGAGGGGTTGTGGTGGGTCTTGAGAGGGTCTTGAGGGGTTGTAGGGGGTCTTGAGGGGTTGTGGTGGGTCTTGAGGGGTTGTGGTGGGTTGTGGGGGTCATTGGGGTTCTTGCTGGGTCTTGGGGGGGTCTTGAGGGATCATGGGGGTTCTTGGAGGGTCTTGAGATATCGTGGTAGGTCTTGAGGGGTCGTCGTGGTGGGTCTTGGGGGTCTTGAGGGATCGTAGTGGGTCTTGGGGAGGTTGTGGTGGGTTTTGGGGAGACATAGGGGTCTCCTGGACACTGGGGTCCCACCTGACACCCCCCCACTGCAGCCCCAACATGGCGAACACGGTGAACGCGGCGCTGAAGCCGCTGGAGACGCTGTCCCGCATCGTCAACCAGCCCAGCGGCCTTTTCGGCACCAAGGGCTCCTCCAGCAAGAGCAAGGGCGAGGGGGCTGGGGGGGCACGGGAAGCCGGAGCTGCACCCCCCGATGGAGGTACTGATCCCCCCTGAATCTCCCCTGTGTCCCCCCCATATCACCATGCTGTGTCCCTCTGTCTCCCCACATCCACCCCAAATCTCTTGTACCCATCCCCGCAAATCTCTTGTGCTCCCCCCAAATCTCTTGTGTCTCCATCTCTCACCTGGGTGCCTCCCATCTCTCCTATCCCCTCCATCTCCCATGTGTGTCCCCCACCATCTCTGGTGTTCCCCCCAATATCTTCCCTGTGTCCCCCCACATCTCTTGTGCGTCCCCAATTTTTCCTGTCCCCCCCTACATCTCCTGTGTTGTCCCTGTGCCATCTCTCATCACTTCAAACCTGTGTCCCCCATCCCTTCCTTGTGATCACCCCCTCCTCACGGCCAACCCTGGGGGGACCTGCCTGTCACCCTG